GGACTGGCAATTTAAAACCCAAGCCCTCCCAAATCAGATTACTTTAACTTTCGTGGAGGGAGTGGGGAGAGAAAAGATATACTGGATACAGGAATATTTAGAAAGTGTGGAAACAATGTGGGCGCTTTCGAGGTACACTTGGAAAATATGGAAATGGCCCATGGCACTACCACCAAGAAAACAATTATCTGCTTCTGCAGCTTCTTCCTGGCAAATAGGAAGACACAAGTCATCCCTTCAGTTCCAAATCTTCCCTCAAATYCCTTCAGTTTCAGCTGGCATCACCACTACTTTGCTCTGCAGCCTGAGGAGACGAGCTCACGAGCACTGTCTCTGAAATTCTGGATTACATTTAAGCATGCCAAAGGATGCTGTTTCACAGACAGTGTATTCCTACACACAAATTCTCTCTCTTGCCCTGTACCCCTATGGATCTCTTCCACTGCTAGCAAAAAGTGTTATCCAGTGCTTGCTTAAGACAGTGGAAAGATGGCCAGATACATTTTTTTTATATATTTTAGCTGACTTTGAAATGTAGATGCTGACCATACTCTTTTACATACATTGCCATACATTTTGCCTAGAAACTGAAAATTCTCCTGTGGTTAAAATTCCCAAAATTTTGCTTCTATATTTTGTATGTCTCAAGTCAGGGTTGTCAGAGACATTGTAGATTCACTATCAACTATACATCATATAAATACATTACCTTAGAAGGTATAAGATGAGGTCCCTTTTCTTCTTACAGGTACCAAAATGTATAGTTCTAGTCAAGTCTATACCATGAAGTCCAAAAAAAATAAAAAAAAAAAAACCAAAACCAAAAACAAACAAACAAACAAAAACCCACACCCAAAAAACCCCCACAAAACTGGCTATGGTAAAAGTAAAATACTATAGCAGAACTGCAAAATTCAAATTTTCAGCCATTTTAAAATCAAATTATATAATTATCAGAAGCTGATTTGGGGTTCTGTTTGTTTCACTATCTTTGAGRGGAGGAGTCTTTTTTTCTTAATGCATCTAGTATCCAGTAACTAAGGGTGGACAAGACAAATCCATTCCATTCTTCCTAGCTTCGTACAAACCACCTTCAGCTCCAAGATTCTGCCTCCACCTTCCAGTCTGCAGCAGAGATCAAAACAGGCTTTTTTTTTTTTTTTTTTTTTGTATTCCAGCCAGACTGAGCAGGCTCAATGGACTACATTCAAACATCAAAGACGAAACAGAATTCTCATCTCATTCCTAAGAACAAGTCTAAAACTGAGAAAAACTAAGGGACAGTTAAATACATAACTAATGATTCAATGCATGAGACACCAGTCTTCTATTCATAAATAAATTTTGCATAATATGCATGATGGCAAAGCTTTCACTGATATAATGCCAGTATACCCAGCCTATTGGAGCCTATTTTTAATATATCAACATAAACTGAACCTTTTAATACTGGAAAGAACTCCAGGTCACAACCCGAACATTAACAAATGAACATGAACAAATGGGACTAACGATACCACATCAAAGAGCCCTGCTCTAAAGACTAATCTGTAAGATGACTGATAAATGCAAAAGATGTTTAATCACTTCTGATTTGTTTAGTATTYGAAATGATGAAAACAAAAAATTATCTAATGCGGCATTTCTGCACTGATTCCCATTCAATCTCACAGTGACTGAAAAGCTCATAGAATTGCTAGCTTCTGCTCCCTGTGAATATTTTATTAAAATAGTGTTTGCAACACAAACTTTTGCAGATATCTTGATAACCTCGGCGGGGGGAAAGGGGCAGAAGTACAATTAAAAAAAAACAACACAAACCTGCAGAGCCATCAATGACAAAGGAAAAACACCCAAATATCTGGAGTMTGGATTACTTCTCAGTACACGTGCTAAACTAGTGCTCCTCATCATGCATTCATGCATCTTTCTTTCACTCTTTTGGGAGATTTACACACAACATGCAATAGAGCTGAACTCACAGATAGGCATGAGAACATTTCTTAAAACATGCCTGTGCTTGCTGCACTGCAAAATTTYTTTTGCCTCTTGACTGAATGCCACCCTCTAGAATTTTTGCATTTTTCCTGAATAGCATAGAAAAAGAGACAATAAATCATTGTACAAAAAAGCCTCTCATTAGGAATACATTTATGGTGAACAGAATTCATTTCTTAAGAGTGGGATCGATGATGTTTTCACATAGGTATGTCATGTGAGCAAAAACCAGGTTATGTAGCTTTGGAAATGAAAGGGCTTGGCTCTATCTCTACTCTTTTTTACATCAGTAAGTGTTGACTTCYGCGTTATTCCAACAATACAGAACTGTGTCAATATAATAAAGGTGGTGAGGGTGGAGAACACAACAACCCTAACCAGATTTAACAGTTTTGGTTTAGACTAGACTTGACTTTAGAATCTTGTCTAAGATTCCACAATGTAAGGCTCTTCATGTGTAAGTAGCCACACAAAAGAGAGGAAAGTACACAGAATTTCATTAGTGATACTGATCTGACACATAATATTTTGGATCAGAGTCTAAGGTGATAAAGGAGTTTTCATACAACTCTTGCTAAGCTATTTTACTTAAGTCTATCAGCAAGAAGCTCTCTGATTTGCAACAGATCCATTTTCTGCAATGGAAAAAGAGCAAGATTTGYTGCAGATAAAAATTTTAAGTTAAGTGATAACTGATTGTTATACTTCTATTTCAAAAGGCTTAAAAGATGTCATTTTAGATATCCCTCTTTTACATTTATAGCCCATGTCTCACAATGCTTAAGATCCCGATTTCAGAGTTCCAGACAACTGTGAAAAACAATTTTTCATTTATTTTTGTTGGTCSTTTGAGCCCTTCGCTTGCCATTGCTATTGATCTGTGACTCTGCTTTATGAAGCACTCCATCTTGAACATGAGTTTTTCAGACTGATGACACTTCAAAGGAATACACGCATTTTGCATAAGTATTTTTTCTTTTTTACATAAACTTCATGTGTCAAAGGTCAAAACCTTGAGGTTTTTATATCTGAATAAAGCAACATGGAATATATTTATATACATTCACTGTAAATAGCTAACTTCAAGTATTTCGGAAAATGTATGCAGCCAGAGGTGCCCACATAGCAGAGTAAAAGGCACCAGTTTGTGCGAAGAGAATAGCTATCCATATAAATGGCAGTACTTGACTTACAAGTCAGACCAAATAAGGTTCCAGAAAGTGAGATATTTTAAAGCATAAAAGGACCAGAGTCTCATCACCGTCAGTAACTACCTAGTCATTCTTCCACATCAAAACCTGAGCTTGCAGTTTTCTCACCACTATGTTTTTCATCAGTACGCCAATCCCATGCTTAGTGAGATGCCACAACCTGAAAAAAGGATGATTGGGACTCATATCCTCTGAACATATTTTCAGTAAAATCTTTATTATTACCAGTAGCAGAAGAATATTAAATTAGAGGCAGAAGTAAAGCCAGAATCTAGTTGTCCCTCTCCAAAGCCGTCTTAAGTCTGTTATACTATCTTAGTACCTCTAGATTCAATGTCATTTAAGAACATGCTAGTTAATTGAGATCTAAATAATTTTTTTTCTGAATCCATATGAAAATTTCAAATCTATATTTTGAAATGTTTAATTCAGATGGGTAATTACTTTCCCAATCTTAAACTATGGCAGATGAACATAGTGATGCCTGAACACACAGTAAAGCCAATGGCAGATCTTGAAAAAGGATTTTGGCCTTCCAGACTCAGTGAGTGTTATCTGCAGAACAAAATGACCTCAGATTAACTTACTAAACACACCTGTATCAAAATATACAACTACAAATATTGAAAATGTTTTAGTATCAAGTGGCTAACACCCATCAAATAAATTATTCATATAGCAATTCTTCTTTCCATATAATGGGCTGATAGATCAAGTGCTCCAAGAAGGCTTTTTATCAGGTCATACTACATTTTAGGTAACACAACATTTCTTGAAGAAAATGAAATTCCCCTCTTCTGGCTCAGAAGCTTAGTCTGCTCTTCCATACAGTTTTCCTTCCCTGAAAGRAGGGATCCATTTTGAACCTTCACTGTGAATTCCTGATTGCACAACTGTAACTATTACTCATAAAAGTAGCAACCTATATAATACTTAAGTTGAATGAAGTAGGGCAGCAGTGAACATTCTAACACAGCTCAAAAACATCAGAATGAGCAACTGCAAGTTACCATAAAAAAGAATGCAATTGTAACCTGTGAATGAGTGGTGTGATTCACTTTCTGAACTGAAATAAAAGGAAAAAAATCTAAAAGATCATTTTAATTCATAATGAAGATTTTTTAATATTACCGTGAAAAACTAATTTTGAGCTTTTGAGCAGACCCTATGTTAGGCAAACAAATTACCTGATTTTTTTTAAATGGATCTTGTCAAATACACCTTATCATCTTCTGTATGGTTTACATTTTAGCAGTGTAAGCATTTAAGCATTACCT